GATATTATAGCGATATTTTAACAAAATATTGCTGAAGTGTGAACGAAATTATTGACATCGATATTTTCCGATATTATCGTCGATATTTATACGATATGTGTATGAATAAGTTTCGAAATATATGTGACTTGAAAAAATGATAATATCCTCGATATTTCGTCGATATTATCGATATTTTAGACTATGATCACAACCATGTTCGGAGTTGTGGATGCGCATGCTTCTTTCCAAGCACTATTAATAGCCTAAAATCAATAGCATACTCAAAAAGTTACTAAAGATGCTAAGATATATGCTCGCATTCACAAACAACATTTACAATGTACTAAATATCAGGAAAGAGAAATAATTAAATAAAGAGGTTAATTGAGTAAATTTGGTTAAACAAATATCCAAAGAAGATTCATATTGCAAGGGGATTGGCACATTGTTTTATCCTAATCCACATCTACAAAGAGGAAAGAATGATTAACATGGCGCGCATAAAAAATGCAGATGATAGTAGATAACAAATGTTCGAGGCAAAATTTTAAGTTTTTTTAAGGGTAAACTTTCGAATCCCCCTTGAACTATCACTCTTGTCGAAATCCCCATCCTGAATTAATTTTTCAGCTAATTTAGCCCTTGTATTAAATTTATTCGCCAATTTCACCCCTGCCGTTAGCCTTTTCACTATTCCATCCAAATGCCTGTCAAATATAAGGGTGAATTTGACATTTTACAAAGTATAGTATTAAGAAAAATAAGGAAAATTTTACAAAATCAAATAGAGAAAAAGAAAACCTCCCACCAATTTCTTCTCCCCCATTTCCCAACCAACATCTACAGACCACAACCCCCCCTTCCCCCTCCCCCCGATTGTGTTGAAATAATTAAACATTCCAATTACTTCTTTCCATAGAGTAACTAAAAGTCGAAATAATTTATGAGGCCCTTTCTACCAAATTAACATAGTATATATTAAAGCATACTAGCATATAAGTATTTATAGCTTTACAGATAATGTTTTTGTTCTTAAAAATTGGAGTTTTTAATTGACTGAAGAATTCACGGTTGGAACCTGTTTATACCCAAATGAACAGCCAATAAGCATCAGACACGTGGACCAATTTTATAGCTATGGAAGCCTTCGGCATCTAGCTACAGTTCGTTCCTACCAATTGCATGATTAGGGCAACTCCACTGCAAGGGGCACGTGGCAGTCCCACAATTGGAGTCCATAGTCACACATCGAAATTCTAAACAATTTGCACACCTCCCAAGGCCTATAAAAGAGGACAACCATCCCAACTAGGAGGTAATCAATCAGAACTTACGGCATACTGCCTATTGATCTGTAGTTCAATCTTACTAAACCCGTACTTACTTAAGCATCGGAGAGCCTTCGGTCGGTACAACACCGGTGCCCTAGGTCTTATCGAGCGTTTGTTATCTTGCAGATCCAACGCCCTACCGAGACCCGTAGCATACCGAAGGCATAACATTACTAAGTTACGCGAGAAAGTTTCGAACCATTTTTCTGCGGCAACAGTTTGGCGCCGTCGGTAGGAAATGATAAGAATCAACCTACAATTCCTAAAAAACACATGGGAACCACTTCAGGACAAACGTTTTTACCGGAGGACGGACTACCGTACGGAATGCCAAGCGAAGCAAGCCCCGCGCTGCACCCTAGCACTCCCTTCGGTAATCCTCCGGTGCTTCAGACCACTGTCGAAGCGGAGCTTCTAGCTCAAATGATTTCCATTCTGAAGGAAATGGCCAAGCTCCAAGAACATAACAACCTCCTCTCGTCTAAAGTAGACGAAACTCAGCGGTTGCTTAATCAGCAGGAACCTTCCCAGAGACTGCAGACCCCCGGTCGGCAGAAGAAGGGGAAGAAGGGGGCAAAGGCAACGTCTGCGCCTTCCAAACAGCTGGTAGTACCGGCCCCACGGGACCAGCCTCACGTACCGAAGAAGGTGTATACCGACTGTCGCTATCGGATCAACAACAGGGATGCCAAACGGCAGAGGTCCCCAATCAGGATCAATGCTCGCCTACGGGACTCACGGATGAGGGTCATTGGAGACAAATCACCCCTCAGGAAAGTTCGAGGGTTGGAATCGGAGATAGAATCTGACGACGAGTATGCCCCGTCCAAGGGCACCGAATCAAACTACCGGTCGAAAACTCCCAAGGAGTATTCGAAGGCGAGGCCACCAAGTTCGAGGAGAACTTCCGAAGACTTCAGTTCCGAGGAGGTCCCCAGCCGAGACCCCGCTATCCGTCTGCTTTTCCAGAGGATCCAGAAGATGGAGGACGACCAAACCCGGTCCCAAGTCCCTGATTGGGGAAAGCTTTGGCCAGGACCCTTCACCGAGCGCATCAAGAGGTCCAGGCAGGACAGGGAGGTGCAGTTGTTGCGTATACCATTTTATACCGATGTGGATGCACCTTCACTCCTTCCAATCGGCAGTTGGGTTCAAGGGCCTGAGCGACGAAGGGCAATGCCTACTTTTTCCATCATCCCTTATCGAGGCTGCTCTGAACTAGTTCTACCGCCTCGAGCCAGGGACGGTAGACTCCTTTT